TGTGTGTGTGTGTGTGTATATATACATATTAAAATTCTCCTTTTTGAATTATATTGGTGTACTATAAGTGTATTTATGTACTAGTCAATTTATATATTTCTGCTTTTATTTTTAATTATGTCAGTTTTGGTCCTCCGTACTGCAGAAGCCTGATAATCACACATTCATTCAAATCAGGTGTTTGAGCAGAGAAAAAAGTAAAACATGCAGGGCTGCGGCCCTCGAAGACCAGGATTGCCCACCCCTGAACTAGTGGTTTTCTCCTTCTAAAAAATAAATAAATAAAGTCAGTTTTGTCAGAAATTTATCCATCAGAGTGAGTTCCCATGCTGCTGCACGGTGAGTTTCTTCTTCTTGTTCCGAGTGTTTTTAGAGCTGCTGTGGTTCCTGTAGGCTGTCAACAGAGCAGCGTTTTGTTAATTCTGATGGTGACACTGTGTGATGTTGCTCTTGAGTCCAGATTTTTTCTGTTAGGCTTGAACGCTCTCAATCTGAGCTGACCACTCGCAAGCAAATTGCCCAGATCTGATCTTCAGTGTGAGGTCTGAACAGGGCCTAGCTGTCTGAGCAGCTCATTTGTTGTGGTCACTTTCACTCCCACAATGCACAAATGTAACAAAACCAGGTAAAGTGGCAGGAAAGCATACAACTGGTTGCTGGGAAAACTTTTATCCTGTATATTTTAAACAATACGGAGTCTTCAGCCAAAACAAACCACTGACTAAAAAATAAACAAAAAATATGGAATTTTTTTTTAGAATAACCTGTGCAATCAAATTTCAGGATACTGACAGTTGAAACTATTAAAGCCAGACAAGTTAGAGACACTTGACTGAATCTGCAGGAGGAATTTGTCCCCAACAAATACTTCTGCTTTAATTATAATAATAAAAAAAAAAAGACAAGCAGAAATCATTCTGGAGGAGCATTAAAGCTCCACGTGAAAAAATATGTAGAAATAAAAACAACCACAACTTGTATTTAGTGGAAGAAATTAATCATTTTAAGTGATATTGTGTTTGTACAGAGCCAAGCGTGAAATTTCCATTCATGTGTTTAAGAGAAACAAAACAAACAAAAAACAATAAACTGTGTAGAAAATGTGATTCCAGATTAATACAGCCTAAAGTGTGCTTCAAAAAAAAAAGGCAATAAGTGACTGCATTATCAGATCATACGCAATGTTACAGTTAGTGCCAACAATAACACACCAATAAAACTGGTAAACACATCGGTGACGATGAAGAGGACAGAACAGGGGGTGGGTAAAAGAGGAAGGTGTGTGTGTGTGTGTGTGTGTGTGTGTGGGGGGGGGTCCCTTGAAATCAGATTGTATGAGCAGAGAAGCAGCATCTGTGGCAAAAAAGGCAATGAGCAAAGCAGCAAGAGCGGCACCAGGTGCAGCATCCAATCATGACGATCGACAGCGAGCACAGGAGTGTGTGTCTCCAGAATCCACTGATCTGTTTGCATCATTAGTGTTGTCCTCCTGAGACGGTGACACCAGGATGTGCAGAGTCTCAAATGAAAAAGTCACAAGTTTTCTGCTGTGTGGGGGAAAAAAAAGGGAAAAAAAGTTGTGGCCCAACTATTATGCTGCATCAAGAATCAGAGTCTTCTTTATCAGTCTGGACAGAAGCCTACAGAACAATCAACATCTTAGAGCGCTTCTGGAAGGTTTTTATTTCCCCGTCAACTCCGGGAGGCTGCGTCTGTCCACTGCTGCATCCTGGCAGGCAGCCCCTGAGCTGAAGTCTTTAATTAACCCCGCCCACTTCCTGTCAGTGGCTGTCTGATAACAGCTAGCACCTAAACAAGCGGTCCACTAACAGCTGCAGACCTGGGTCTAGATACGAAGCATGGCTCAGAAGAATACAAGCTTATTAAAAGGTAACTGAAGCACTTATTATTGAAAATATCTGCATATGAAGAAGTCCACTGAGCACCTGAAACCAAAGGCTAAGGTTTCAGCACAGGAGTGTTTGCTTTCAGCTACAGTACATCTGTTAAAAGTCTTTAGAATAACTTTTACTTTAATGATAAATACCTGCATCTGCACAGATGGTAGCCTGAAATAAGAGAATATATCATTGCAWGAACATTAGAACGCTGCAGAAATTTGCTTATAAAGATGCTTCAGACTTTTTCCCCTCGCGTTAAAATGCTTCTTCACCCAGGTCTGCAGAGCTCGGTTCTTTGACCGCACGAGACGTTAAAACTTGGGTTGGTAAAGGGCCACGCGCCCACTGAGGCAGCCCGAGGCCAGCTGGCAGTGCGTCGGGGAGAACTTGGTGGTGAGCACCACGTCGCTGTGCGAGTAGATGGAGCGGATCTCCCGCAGGCAGCTGGTCTGAACCGGCAGGCAGTCGGCCAGCTCGCCGCAGCGCTCGTTGAAAGCCAGCAGGCGCACGCCGTAGCCGTAGGGGGAGCAGATGAGCCGCCCGTCGGGACTGAAGCACAGCTCTTTAATGTAGCCCCGGCCCACGTTGGCCTCCTCGATGTAGTGGGTGAGACGGAGGGAGCAGCGGGGGGAGACCAGTGGCCGAGTGGGCGCTCCCTCTTGGAACTCGTACACGCACGTCCACTGCAAGAGACAAATATAACTTTTATTAGGAATTTAGAYATAAAAAATGTTTCATAAGTTGTCTAGTGTGACAGGGCTGCCATACTACGCCACCAACAGTAGGCGAGGCAGGTGAGATGTCTTGCCCAAGGACACGACGACTGAGACAGCTGGACCAGGGGATCGAACCAGCAACCCACCGGTTACARGACGACTACCCTAACCACTCTGTCACAGCCGCCCCAATAATATGAACCAGTTTGTGTGAGATGACAATGGAGAAGAGGCTTTAGAGAGAACATGGAGGTAGCTACAGTGAGGACCAGAGCGTAAAACAGAGGAAGATGAGTTGCTGTGACGATGCGTAAAAAGGGAACAGCTGAAAGAAGAAGATGTTTTTGCTGGGATAGCAGTCATGGTTCTCACCTCCTGGTCGTCCATGTTGCTRGAGCAGCGGATGAGCGTGGCCCAGCCTTTGGGGTGGAGCTGCAGCGACGTAATGCAGTTTCCTCGGTCCTTCTCTCCGGGGATTTCAGGCGTTAAAACCTCCAGACTGTTCCGTGGAGAAAGGCCTGAGAAAAAGGAGGAAAATAAAAGTTGTGAGGATGCTAAGATGACAGCAGGTGGTTTGAATCATCTGGAGGTGGTCTCAGACCTTCTCTGTGAGGATGAATCTTGCTGGAGTCGTTTCCGTGTCGAGAAGTCGCTGAYGACCTGGACGCCGACGTGCCTCAATCTACACAATCACAAACGTGGTTAAAGGTCGCTTTCCCGCCAAAATAAAAACAATCTAATTTGCCATTTTTGACAAATAAATAATAATACAAAGCATTAATTTTCACACTATTGAATTATATTGCAATAAATACAAAAATTCCACATTTACAAATAAATACTAGTTAAAAAAATTAGTATACAAATAAAAACATCAGCTGAACAACGACTACTTTTACCATTTACAGATTAAAGGCACAGTTTGTAGGATTTTGTCAATTCTTTTAGCCGAAATTGAGATAATCACTAATGACAATAATAAAAAACATGTCTAATCATTGCAGACAAA